ATAGTTAGCCATAACCTCTGACTAATGATCAGACTGGAGAGTTTGTGATCGTGGGGTACACGTACATCGGCCCTGAAAAGACCGAACACGCAAGAAACCTTCAGCCACCACTGGATACCTTCCTTGGGCTAAGTGCGTGGACCTTACAGTGGCCTGGGGAGGGGAGGTATCCAAAGCAAATCAACTGGTCATTGGGGTTCCTCAGGGTTCAGTTCTTGGACCCCTTCTCTTCTCCATATACACTACATCACTGGGTCCCATCATACAGGCACATGGCCTCTCCTACCATTGCTAGGCTGATGACACACAGCTTTATCGCTCATTTCAACCAGACGTTCCAAAGTTGGCTGCACGGATCTCAGGCTTGGATGAAAGAACATCACCTACAACTCAACATGGCAAAGACTGAGCTTCTCGTCTTCACTGCCACTCCGACTCTATAACATGATTTCACCATCCAGCTAGGTTAATCAACAATTATCCAATCAAGTTCAGTCAAAATTTTTGGTGTAATCTTTGATGATCAGCTGACCTTCAAGGACCACACTGCACACAGATTTGCTTTGCACAACATCAGAAAGACCAAGCTCTTCCTAATAGAGCATGCTGCACAACTTCTTGTTCAGGCCCTTGTGATTTCTAGTCTGGACTACTGCAATGCTCTTTTGGCCGGACTTCGATCATGTACAATCAAACCTCTACAAATGATTCAGACTACAGCAGCGCGTCTGATCTTCAACGAGCCCAAAAAGGCCCATATCACACCTCTCTTTATCTCCCTGCACTGGGCTGCCGGTTACAGCTCGCATCAAGTTCAAGATATTGATGATTGCATAAAGAAAGAACAGCCACAGGCTCAGCACCCTCCTACTTCCATTCACTCTTACAAATCTACATCCCCTCCAGAAGCCTGAGATCTACAAGTGAGCGACGCCTCCTGGTACCATCAATGAGAGGCACAAAATCACTTTCCAGAACATTTTCGTTTACCGTTCCATGCTGGTGGAATGGTCTTCCCACGCCCATCTGGAATGCTGAATCCCTGACAATTTCAAGCGACAGCTGAAAAATCTCTCTTTCGTAAACATATGACTGCATCCTAATTTAATAAAAAGAACCTTCACTTTCAATTTCCTTAATCCCTCCCTGTTCTAGCTTGTACTAATCTGAGTGATGTCTAAAAATTTGTATTACGAGCACTTCCTGTGTTTATTTGCCTCTTTATGATGAATTGCATGTTGTATTCCTCAATTGTAAGTCACTTTGGATAAAAGTGTCTACTAAATGAATAAATGTAGAGTCAGGTAGAGTGTTGACTTTTACCAAGGTGACAGTAGAGTGACAGTTCATCAAGAAGGAAGGCTGCACTGAGAAGTATCAGAGACTATAGAATGCCCAAGACGTGTCACTCGTATAGTTTTGAATGGGGGAAAAATACAATGCTCAATATGGCTGCTCCATTGAAGGAAGCCCTGCCTTCTGAGTAAAAGAGCCAATCGCTATTCGGTAAAGTCATTGCATCACTGCAGCTGCCGTTAGAAGTCCCAGTTGCTATAGAAACTGTCAGCGTTCTGGAGACGCGTGCTTAGGACTGCGCATGCACATTGGCTGCTCTAGCCTGAAAAATAAGCTTTTTTTAATGCTATTGGTGCATAAGAAACAACATTTATGAGACAGTTGTTGTCAAATTTCATTGGTGATTTCAAATATGAAATTGAATCATAAGCTTGGCGAACAGTTTTGGAGAATTTGGTGTTTCCCCATTCAAAGAGATAGAAACTGCAATTGCATGCCCGAGAGGCGTTTCAAAGATGGCCACTGAGTGACAAGACTTGTCTTAAAGGGACTTTGGAAGTATCAACTGAAATAAATGCTTCCCCTTTGTGGACACTAACATAATAGGCAACTCTGGCCCCAGAGAGTGATTGTAAATTAAGTTTACAGGAAATATGCTTGAAATCTCCATCTATATCTCAGATACTGCGATTTCATTGTAATTCTTATCACAACGTTACTGAATTCACCATTAACTATTCACCACAACAGTTTATGTTGTTGTATATGATATCATTGTAATCCTTGACCATAAACATATAGGGGTAGACATCACACTTTCTGTGTCCTCATGTTTGGTTCAGGAGATATAAAATACATAATTTGGTAATGGCGGAAAGGAAAATGGCCGCCAAGGCGACCACAAGGCGTTTTTGCGATGGCTCCATTTCTGAAAATGTTCAGGGCTGTAAACTGTACAAGTTTTATGCTTTTATGAAAAAGTGAAAAAAAAAATCACATATCACCTGGACTATTTACCTATCCCTAAACCTATCCATTTCCACCCCCTGGATTCCATTTCCACCCCTAAACCTACCCATCTCCACCCCCTGGATCAAATTGTTCCAATTACTCTTATACATATTGTTGTTACAAAATGTAGTTATATATGTCCTGTTACACATTTGTACTTACACAAACCATTCAGAGGGTTGTTACATGTGTGTAATTACAGAAATATTCAGCTCTAGATAATATATACCAATGTGTACTTACACTGTGGTTACATACTACGTACACAAGTTTTGCAAGTGGGACCCTTTCTGTTGTTAAACACAAAAGAAAATAATCTGAAGAATGCTGGTAACGAAACAGTTGCTGGTATCAACTGACTTCCATTGTGTGGAGAAAAAAAAAATGATGGAAGGCTACCAGCAACTGTTTAGAACAACATGAGTGTGAGTAAATGATGGCAAAAGTTAAATTTTTAGGTGAAGTAACCCTTTATTTATTTTTTTTGCTTACACAATGAATGTCAGTGGGTTCCAAATACTCTTCAAAATATCTTCTTTTGTGTTTTGCATGAGTAGAATTAGTCATACAGGTTTGGAATGATATGAGGGTGAGTAAATGATGAGAGTTTTCATTTTTGTGTGAACTATCCCTTTAAGATGGCATGACTAAGACCCCCTATTCCCTATTCCATTCTATTGTGTTAAGTCCAACTGTCTTTGCAAGTAAACACGCCAGGTTTGACGTCAATACTTTTTAAATGGTGCTTGCACGTCTCGTGACTGAAAGGAGTTTTGAATTGACGCAGGTGTCAATGAGATCTGAGAGCAATGATCTCTGCATCAGAGTTGTGAAGAGCTGTGCATCTGGATCTCTTTGATCAAAATAAAATAGAATGAACTGTTTCAGTTTAGTACTAAAATTTGACAGTTCGGATTAGGTATAGTCACAGGGTCTTGTTTACAGGCTGAGTTTGGCCTTTAATTTAATATAAATTCGCTAGAGTTGCTGTTGGATTTGATAAGCCAATCATAAGAATTTTCCTATATTTCTTGAAAGAAAAACGTGTTTTCAGTAGCCAGATCAGCAGCATTAGAGTGTGTTTTGATTTGAGTGCTGCAGTCTCTGTGAGGGATGTGCGTGAATGATCATCTATCTCTGCAGGTGTCTTAACCACTACAGTCAGAGACAGATGGCAAACCACTTTCATTTCCACTGCCCTTCCAGACTCCAATGTACAAAAATACACTCTGAATGTTCAAAGAATGTCATATTAATTTCATTAAAATGACAAATCTTTTGAATTAACATGCACAGATGAATCGTTCACAAGACCAGGAATGTGCATTAAAAAGAGAATAGGAACAATTTTGATTTCATGTTGATTTATTTTATTTTTTTATTATTTAGAAATAAAAATCAATATAGCCTTTACAAATCAGTAAAAACAAACACAAAACAACAAACAAACAAACTAAAATTTCTTAATGCAAGATCTTGGTCTAATGAACAATGCATCAGTTCTTTTTAATTCTATAGAAAGGTTGCAGTTGTTTTACTTTGTAATCTTCAAAACAAAAAAAAAACTTTCTCTGAAATGACTTTCTGTTGACATCCATACACATCCATGGTGATACAGTGTTGTAAATCAGCTCAACAGGGAAATATTTATGACTAACAATAACTGGTTATGATTAATAACAAATATTTAGATTATATCTTCGAATTAACTGTAGCAGAATCAATATTACCATTACTTGATCTGTCCGTCCACCGAGCAGACAAAATAATCATTTATCAATTTAAAGAAAGATTATTTTCCTGGCCAAGGAAGAATAACTTTCCTTATTTATGCAGTGCTAGCAGTAATTTAGCATATGTAGCAAGGGTTCGAACATTCATTGACTTCGAATTGTGAGCAGCAAACAGAGACAATCAGTTGTGAATATAAGGGATTTAATAAATGAAACTGGGTGCCTCTGTCTGAGCTGACTCTCAGCGGCAGCCCGAACCTGGAGAAAATGTGATCAACAGGAGGTATGCTGTAGTTTGAGCAGTGTCATTGGGTGCTGGGAGGCATTCTACCCACTTTGTGAACTGGCACACGACTGTGAGGAAATACTTGTTGCCTCTTGTTGACCTGGGATAAAACCCCAAAGATCATGCATGATTCTACGCAGACGCTACAACAGCTATTGGATAAAAGTAAACCGACAGCCAAACAGCTACTTTTTTTTTTTTTAGCGCATTAAGCAAACTTATACTTGGTTCATGTCTTGCATTATGTGATGCCTACTTTTCACCATCCAGTCAGCTACTGATGGAAAAAATTTGTCCTATCCTAGATGTTTTTGTTTTTTTTTTTTTCCTGTGAATTTCCTGTTTCACTTAGAAGTATGACGCATTATGGAAGTAGAATTCTAATAGCATTTGAATTCACACTGACTTTAAGGGCCTATGCTAATCAGAATGTTTCTGATGTTTACAGTTCGAGTCTTTCAGAAAAGCTCTTAGATATAGCAAAAGAAATAACAGGAGAAAAATAAACAAAGAACGTAGAAATGTAATACACACTTCTGAGACCATAAAAAGCACTTTCATCTGTTTATATATTCTTTCTTCGTCTTTCTTTTGGTGAACATTTACTTAAAACTGCTGTCAGGAGTTTAACTGGGACTCATGTGAGTCATCAAGAGATAAAATGGTTTACGTACACTATCTACAGCCAAGATCTTTGCCCATATGAAGACCAAAAGAGGCCTGAGCTCTCTTGCTGAACTCTGCAACAGTTTCAACACATACGGAAAAATCCCCACTGAAAGAGCCTGCAGAGAGGAGAGTGAGAGGAAGAGTCAGAGTGAGAGAAAAAAAAGACTAGGATGACACAAGGTAGCTGAACGTTTTCTGCCATTTAACCATATTGTGCATAGTTTACCTAACTAACATATGTACTCTTGTGAAAAGGCTACAAACAATAATGAAATAATGAAAGCAAAAAACAAATCTTAGTTGTGTATCTCACCAAACTGACGGCCCAAGGGCCCAGGTCCAGAAATCGCCCCAACAAATCCAGTGCCCTCAGTCTGTGTACCTGGCTTAAGAGGACCTGAGAGAAACCAGATGGAAGAACATTAACCCGATGTTCCACTCTCTTCCATAGCCAGTGGAGTCAGTGAGGAGTGGATGACATGGATATGTGTGTCAGTGTGTGACTCTACAAAAGGCTCAAACAGATGAAACACTGCAATGACCTACTGGAGATTATGTTTACAGCATAGGTTGTTATGGCCCTTTAAGGAATATTAGGTATTTAAAACACCTCACACCTACAGGAATCACCAAATGCCCCACACCCACACCCACGCAAACACAAAAACAGACAAACAATGGGAACAACTAATATAATCATTCTGAACAGGTGCTCAGGTTCACATACACTCCCTGCAGGCTGGCACAAGCTAATGACTTCCCACCTGTGTGTGTGTACATCTGTGGCTAGAGTGGTTTGTGTGTGATTCATTAACATTTATGTATGCACTGTAAACCCTAAAGCTCAAAATAGTTATTTGGTTTGAGTAGAGCAAACTTAACTTAGTTAAAATAAAATGAACTTGAATATGAATATGAGTATTTAGAACTTTCTTTTTCTTTTCAGTTCAAAAAACTGAAACATTTGTTTTTTTGGTAATCTGAATTGTTTGATTGTTTTGAGTTATATGACTTTGTTTCTTTTAATTTAGACAAACTTAAATTTAACTGAAACTGGGCTGGGATTTCTATATTCAGGTCTGTGTTATTAATAAAAGTGGTGGTCACATTAAATTTTAGGTATGCAAAATTACGAATGAGATTAACAGGATATGAAGTCGTGCTCCAGGGCTTCTGTTTTCAATGAAAACAAACAAACAAATCAATACCAGTCAAACATCTTGACAAACCTACGTAATTCTTACAATTTTCTACATTTTAGATAGAGAAAAAATGATCAAAACCATCTTCTTTACAACAATACAATCCTCTGTCTTACAGTTCACAATCTATATTTCTCAGAATCACCTTTGTTTTATGTTTTAAAGCTGCTTTAATAATATTAATGATCATGCAAAATAATATTAAGTGTAATATGATTTAAAATGAACACCAGTTTCTGGATTTATGTTGATGAGGGGATATTTAAGCTTTGAGGGATGTGCATAAAAAATAAATACATTGGAAACAATAATGTCTATGTCTAGATGCAATTAAAATAGTACTTAATGACTTGCCATGTATGCTGGGCACTTGATTTTGTTTTGTGTAAAAAAAATGTTGTTAAAAATCATAGGATGGCACAATTTATTATTATTATTTTATTATATTATTATCATTATTATTGTTTTAAGCATTGAAGCATAAGCCTTTTTAGATCAAAAGATCTGAGATCATAAGAAGCATAAAATGAGTTACGTGTAAAAGGTTTTTTAGTTTTAAATAGCAGTTTTCGTTTTCTACGCCAGCATTTTAAAACTCTGTATACGTGTGTATGTATTTAAAGACTCTAGATACTGTGGTACAAACTCTCAGCATGGTGAGGGGGTCCGGATATAGGCCTGCCCAGAGACAGAGCCGTGCTGTGTGTAAGGAGCGCAACAGAAGGACTGCCCACCTCAATGCTCACACAAAAACATGCACGAACTCCAAAACGCCTGCAATCTCCTGCCAAAACAATATGCCACCCTACCATAAAGGTATTAATAGATCGCAGGGTCACGTCAAATCACGAACTGTGAAAATTCTCAGCATGCACCTTGGCTATAACAGGGCGTTCCTTAATACCCTGAGAAATACCTATGGACAGAAGGAAGGAAGGAAGGAAGGAAGGAAGGAGGGAGAGAGATGAAAGAATAGAGAGAAGTGGAAGAAGTGGGAGGAATACGAGGGAGGTTTGCTTTTTCTGACTCTGGCCAAATGGAAGATTACTCAGCACTTACAAGGTTTTACACACATACACACGTGTGTAAAAGTGTGACTGGCTGCTGAATTTAAGATAAGGGTGAAAACCTGAGCCCATCTGCGAAGAGTCTAAACCTCTTAAAAAGATGCACAGAAATACTACAAAAACTCAATCTGACTCAACACAAGCAGCAGGAAGCAATAATTCTGATCTCAAAGCATTACATAACAGTTTACATTTTGTCAGTTCTGTGCATTCCCTGGAAATTGAACTCACAATATTGTCGTTTATAGTGCCGTGCTCTACTGTCTGAGCTAAAGAAACACATAGGCTACAGCAAGAATTAAGAGTATTTGAACACTTAAGTTACATTTAAATTATATATTTTGAAAGCTTATTACTCAAGAAATTGTGAACAGTACACTGTAAAAGGCATCAAACATTCACAAGTCTAAGCAATGCTGTGTATGTACACTGAATTAAAGATAAATATTAAACAATATAAAATAAATTGTGTGGATGTGTTCTTAAGAACAATAAGTAAGAGTGTTTTAATAAAACAA